GAGGATGCATACGTAATGGGCAACCTGTTGAGTCTGATATCCAGCCCCAAGGAGATCGAGCCTGCGTTTGCTGTGTACAACAAGACGAGGAAGGAGAGGTCGCAGAACTTGGTCACGGACAGCCGCGAGCAGGGGCAGTTGTACGAGTTGGAGTTGAAGGACGACCCAGAGTGGATCGCCGAGAACTTGTCGACCCGCATGGATTGGATATGGAAGTACGACTTGACCCAAGAGTTGGAGAAGGGCAGGCGGATGCTGGAAACGAAGGCGCAACTATGATTGGCTGGCTTCTAGGTGTAAACGGGATTGGTATGCTTATACTAGGTTAGCGATATTCTCAACAAGGCCCTTTGATTTCTGGACCAAGTGGCGTCGGTAGTGATATCCGCTGGTGTTTTAGTTATGGAACCAGTTGTGGTATGGTAGTTAGCTGACTTGTCGGACTGTTTATTGATCTGGCGAGTTTCTGTACTAATCGATCCGACGAGTTTGTTTACTGATCCGACAAGTTTGTTCACTGATCATCAGAACGCTCGCCAAAGTCATCACCAAGGGTATCCTGACATAGTGCAGAGGTCTCAGTCATGAGTATTCACACACCACCCCATGCCACAATACGGCCGAGGTCTCAACGCTGTACTATGGCTCAGCTCATAGTCGGCGGATACGCTATGATGATTTCAGCTATTCTATTGGCTAACAGCTCTAACAAAAGTGAGATGGGTTATTTTATCAGCACACGGTAACTATGGTCGAAGCGATCATCCACAGTATACCTAGCGAGATCCTTGCACGGGATGGCTTTCGGGTCCTACGTAGGTGCGGATACTGCTTGACTGCTATCTCCGTAACGTACCTATGGAGTGATGTGAACCAGTAGTGGGTTTTCAAATGTGTAAAGTACTCATGTCACATCATAAAAGAATAACGTATTAATCATAAGTGATGTGATTCGTTTCAATCTACCAAAAGATGCCTATGCCAACCTAAACAGAACAGAGAGGGAATCCTAAAGCCATGCTGCAACTTTTACAACCTTTTATGTACAATGCAAGAATACTCGCTCCAACCCAATGCAATCAAACGCTTAGTCGAAGTGAATGCGCCACAACTCTCTCGGCGAACCAGCCTTGAAGTCACTGCGGGTGTGCATCGCCAGGACGTTGTCGCTGACGAGCAGGTCGCCCTCCTCCCAAGAGAAGTAGAGCGTGTTCCTGCGGTCGTGCAACAGGGAGTCCAAGATGTTGCAGATCTCGGTGCTCTCCTCCTCGCTGACGCCTTCAATGTTTACGTAGGTGGCATCGAAGGTGGTCTTGGATTGAGGCCATGGCTCGTGGTAGCGGATACAGGCCTCACCGGTCTCGGGGTGGGGAGTGACGAGAGGGAGACCGGTCATCTTGGTGGCGTCGAAGGAGCTAGTCTGGACGCTCCAAGTGAGCTTGGAGAGCTTCTCGAGAGGCAGATGGGGAGGCAGGTTCTGGAAGATGAGGCGGGAGGGGGTGAAGAGGGTGAAGCCAGTGTCCTTCGGTGAGGGCGTGACCGAGGTGAAGAACTGGAACCTGCAGGAGTGGGTTAGTCCCGGATCATCGGATCTGCACTGCTGTGCCGCTGGAAGTGGACTTACTTGGGAGGGTTGGGAAGAAGCTTCTCAGTTCCGTCCTCTTGGGGCACCTTGTGGGTCTTGAACAGACCATCGAAGTGGAAGGGCATCCACTCGGCTGACAGAACGTTATTCAGACCACGGGTATCGGCACCCTGGTCCTTGACCTCGAGGACAAGACCAAACTTCCACGGGAGGGGCGTTCCGAACTCCTCAGACTTCTTGACGAACAGGTCGCGGTCCTTGGTCTTGGAGAAGCCGCGCATGATGACGGGAGAGTTGACCTCGGACAGAGCGCGGACCTTCTTGGCGTCGATGTCGTGGATGGAGAGCTTCTTGGGGCCGGCGGCCGGGCGGATGACAACGCCGCAGGGGTAGATAGGCTCGAAGGTGACGTCCTTGTCCCAGTTGTAGAGGTCGCTCTTCTCGCGGAAGTAGCTGGGTCTGCCGTCCTCGTAGACGAGCTCGTACTTGGGGTCGTTCTCGAACTCTGATCGGGGGCCGGTGGTGATGGCGCCGCTGACGCTGAAGGCGATGGAGCAGTGCCAGGGGGTGGTGTAGTAGGTGGTAGTCGGCAAGGGGCTGATGGGGATCTTGGTCTCGCCCACGGAGGGGTGGATGGAGAGACGGATGTGGTCGCGGAAGTTCTCGCGCACAGCACGCGCGAAGGCGTCACCGCGCTGCAGCATCTGCTTGGAGATGTACTCGATGCCGGTCTTGAACTTGGTCTTAGAGCGGTCCTCGCCGACGGGGTAGACGTGGCGCAAATCGGTCTCGAGGAACTTGATGTATCCGCGATATGTCAGGCAGGTGTCCTCGTTCTTGGAGATCTCGTTGGAGGGGTCGTAGTCGGCTTTGCCGAAGGTGTTGAGGAGGGCCCGTCGGAAGTTGGTAGCGTTGGCGACGTATGTGATCTCCTCGAGCTTGTTGGGGAGGTTTGGGAGGTGGACAAGGTCCTGGAGACGAGAGAACTGGATGTTGGTCAAGCGCTGCTCGGCGGCGATGCCACGGAGAGTCTCTCCGTACGCCCAGACTTCCTTATCTTGGACACCAAGAAGGTCTGTTACAGAATTTTGTTAGCCGTGTCGAAAGCAGCAGAATCAAAGTGTCAGGCTAGCGTACCGTTATATACAAGTCCGTCGGAGATGATAGTGAGCTTTGCGCCGGGCTCGTAGTAGTCCTTGATGGCTGAGCAGAGACCGTTGAGGTTGGCAAGGGCGAACTCATCCGCCTTGTCAGGCAGACGGCTGAGGACCTTGTCTCTTGTGTTGGGTGACTTGAAGGGGAAGGCAGGAAGGCACATGCGAATCTCGCTCTGGGACTTGACTTTCCTGTAGATCTGGGAGAGGAAGCCTAGCCTGCCCTCGAGCTCATCTGTGCTAGCACGCTTCAGACGATAGCGGCAGATGATGTCCAAGATGCCAGCGGCGGTGGTGAGAGCTTCTTCGTCCATGATCTGAGAGTCAACCTTGGAGAGCAGCTTAACCTCCGGAGAGGGCTGTCGAGGCGGCACTTCTATGGCAGAAGGCATGTTGTGTGGGTGGATGTCTTAAGGTATGGATAGATGAGTGTGTGAAGATGCGGTGGGAGTTGCTTGTCTCTTAGATAGAAAGACTGAGGTAGGGGAGGGCCTAGACAAGAGAAGGAGCTAACAATCAAAAGAGAGTTCAGTAGGGCTGGAAGGTGCAGCTTGTTCTTAACTCAAATTGAGCCTGGATTAGAGGGGAGTTGAATCCGAATGCTCGGGAAGAAGAACCGGCTTATATTGCGCCTGCCTTGGGCGTTGGTCTACGCAAAGCTGCATATGCAAAATACTACTCTCGGAGATGATGATCGCAAGGAAGGGGTTACAGCAAGGAGCTACGGCACTGCCCGCAGAGCTGCATCAGGTCACATCTGGCCATTCGTCGCTCCCTTCTCCGTAATGGGCATATCCCGAATGTGGCTGTCCAATCCTCCTGTCCCGAAGTCCACTCTTTTCGTTTCCATGGTTGTTCGATATGTCGCCACAGGGTGTTCGATAGGAGACTAGTTCTGTACCAGCCAACCAGGGAAACAACTACGGGATCAAAATACTTCCAGCCTTGTTGTCCCATGCATTGACAATTTTTTTCTCTTTACAGGCACCATCCTAATCGTCGATCGAGTCAGGGTTGCCACCCCACTGTATTGCCCGGGCCAAGCAGGATCAGGAAAGTGTTATGCACCGCGTGTGTGAGCTGGGCTTGGGCCAGGTTTGACAGCCAGTTCCGCGACCCACGCGTGGGTGTGGAACATCATCATAGGCGGCCCAAAGGAGAAGATTGGCTGGTTTTCCAAGATCTTAGTCGCAGCCGCGCGGGAGACGTCAAGGAAGGTGGATAAACCCTGGTTGAAGCCACCGTTAGGACTAATAAGAAAACACAAGCAGGCTGAAGGTGTGTGGAGAGCGAGGGGGCCCATCTCCGGGCCCTGAATCCACCCCAAAAAAGAATCGAGCCACGGCGCCACTAGGTGACGGCCCATAGATGCCGCGGCAGATGTGGTTGAGCATGGGCAAACATGGCCCAGATTCCGTGGCGGCAGGATCCTCCCGCGGCTGTGGAGACAAGGTCCCCCGTGTAATCGAAAGACGCCTTACCCGATCGGCCAATACCCCCGGGCGACGCGGTCCGGAAAGACATGGAGACGCCCGGATAGCGACGGCGATGATTCCTTACAAGGGCAGGTCTAGCCAGATTGCCGGGGAGGGCCACTGCGCTGCAACATTGGCATGTCGTGGCATGTCACATTGAGATCGTCGGAAGAGCATTCAAGTTTGTCAGGTCGTTGTTCTAAGACGTGCCTCAACGTCTGGGCGTTTTGCGGAGTGCATCCACACTTCGTCCACTCGCTGCGTGTGCGTAGCAAATACGTAGAGTGCGATTCCATGTCAGGAACATCCCCGGCGCGCTCCGATATCAGATGATTATCGCGATACTCGCCCAGCGTCGGACTCACCGTGCTCGGCACATGTACGGAGCTCCTTTCGGCGTCATCGACTCTCATCCCGGATCTGGACCCCCGTGTCAGTCTCAGCCCCCGTTGTCAGATATCTAGTGCGCCTCCCATCGGACAATATCTGCAACCACGTAAGACGATATCTCCGCCTCTGATCTGATCGGCTTAGCAATCGGCAGTCGTCCGACCCGGATCTTTTTTCTTCTCTTGGATTTGCGAGATCTCGTACTCGGGAACATCTTGCCGCAACAAAAGTCATATCAAACGACTTACGCCAAGTTTGAAGATATCACATCTGCAGCTTACTTCACTTTTTCGGCTGAAGAAACACCTCCACTTCCTCACTCCTTTCTCTGCCCATCCCTTGTCTTTGCACAACACAACACACGCCGGAAACTCACATACACCACTCACTGCAACAATGGGTTCCATTCCTCGCGAAGAAGAGACTCTGGTCGACTTGACCATTGTCGGCGGTAAGCCTTGCTCGGCTCCGAGCTGTTATGCGGGCATCATCTCTAATTTTGATGTTCAGGTGGACCGACGGGTCTTCTCACTGGATACCTGGCTGAGTCGTTGGGTGTTTCCGTCTGCATTATTGGTGAGTAAATGCGTCTCAATGTCTGAGCGCGCACAGCTGACGAAATCAAGATGCAAAGGAAGGTCCTCTGGAGCTCGGAAGAGCCGATGCGATGAACGCGCGCACCCAGCAGGTTCTCGAGATTGTTGGCATCCTCGACGATCTTCTTCCTGAGGGAATTACCTGCAACAGTAAGAAATTACCAAGACTTGCACAAACGGAGTCCATATGCTTACCATAATGCAGCAAGTTCAACCTTCGCTGAGGGCGACTTCAAATCCCGCCAAAGCCACTGGTGGACTGGCCTCGAGCACTGCTATCGCAAGAACTTCTTGATGCTCGGCCAGCCCGTCATTGAGCAGGCTCTTGCGCAGAAGCTCAAGGCCAAGATCTCTTACGGCGAGACCGTTTCGACCATTGCGGAGGACAAGGCAGGTGTTACCGTTACCACCAGCAAGGGTCGCACGATCCGCAGCAAGTATGCGGTGGGAGCCGATGGTGCGCGCTCCACCGTCCGCAATGCGCTCGACATCAGCTTCACCGGGACCAAGCCAGAGATGATCTGGGCCGTTTTGGACACATTCATCGACACTGACTTCCCTGTTTGCTCCGAGATCATCACCTTCCAGCTCAACGGCCAGAGCAGAGTCTCATGGATTCCCAGAGAGCGCAACATGGCGCGCTTCTACATCCTGCTGGACGGTGAGATTACGCAAGAGAAGGCGGAGAACTCCATCAGGGAGCACATGGCACCTCATCGGGTGGACTTCAAGAAGACGGAGTGGTTCAGCACGTTTGATGGTAAGCGCGCTCCTCGTGGCACCCAAAGCAAGGCAAGAGACTTTCAGTTTCGGACTCGTTGACACGTCGATATAGTCAAGGAGCGTATCGCGGGAACCTTTGTCTCCAAGAGCGGCGACGGGCGCATCATTTTGGCAGGTGACGCTGCCCATGTTCACTCGGTGAACGGCGGCCAGGGCCTCAACACCGGTGTGGCTGACTCGTTCGCTCTGGCGTGGAGACTCGCCGAGGTCCTCACAAACGACAAGCTCAGCCAAGCTTCCGTCGATAAGTTGATCAAGAGTTACGACATCGAGCGACGCACCGTGGCCCAGAGCGTCATCGACGTCGCAGCGGCCCTGGTCAGAGACACCGTCCACACTGCAAAGCAGTACGTCTCCACAATCGAAAAGAACGCCGGGTACATCACAGGTAAGCTTTTTCCCTATGGTTAAGCAAGTATCCGTAGCGTGACGTCCGCGGCCCCCAGGGCTGGCGCTCATCCTGCTTCCCCAAACTCTGTTCTGCGTTGGCCCCCAGAAAAGGGGAGATCAGTCACAGAGAAAACGGGGAAACCGCGCTTCCAGAATGCTGTGCGCCCTGGCTCACCAAGCACAAGCGCGTGTGCGGATGTTCCGCGCTCTGCTGGGGCTCCACGTTTCCGAAACCGAGCGAGAAGAGTTTTCGGCTAATTTTTCTCTTTAGGCATGGGCGTATCTTACGACGGCACCGGTTCGCCCCTTGTCGAGGGCACCACGGCGGGCTTCTGGACCGCTGGACGGCGCTGCCCGGACGTCTACCTGACACCTTCGTCCGAACAAGAGTCGAAGCGTCTGTATGAGCTTGTCGCTGGCAAGTATGGCAAGCACCTGGTGTTGAAGATCGGACGACAGGAGGCCAGCGGAGCCGCCCCAGCAGATGGTCTCAAGGATGTGGCCAGATTCTTCAGGGTCATCCCCCACAAGGCGGAGCCTCGTACGACGACGGACCCCGAAGACTCTTCATCAGTTTTTTCGGCTGAGTGGGTGGGCGAAGATGACGAGTTCGTCGTTGTCGTCAGGCCAGACATGTACATTGGCTATGTCGGCCAGGGCGAAGGCTGGAAGGAGTATCTTGCCTACCTGACCCAGTAAAAAGGGGGCATTGTTTGTTTGTGTCAACATGTTTGTTTTTAGAAAGGCCAGGGAAAGGGAGCGTTGAACCACAAAAGCATTACAATCATTGGATTGTATCATTAGACGGTAGAGAGATATCTTGCATGATCAGTATTTCAGCCAATTGGAGCCTTCGCGGTGATCTAAGCTCTTCCGGGTCCTATATTGTCAATCCTCACCGGTGCAAGAGTCAGGCGTTTGCATACAGATCCCGTTGTAGGGCGCGGCTGCAATTTCAATCACCTGCCCGACTGGATCTCCGTTTGATTGTCAGGGGGAGCCAAGACCGAAGTCCGAGCTTGATACGCGTAGTATTTACGATAACGGCGATAAGAGCCGATTCTTTAACACGGAATCTGCAACCTAATCTACAAGCTACTGCGGGCTGGCTGTATTCGTAGCCAACCGCAGCCAACATGTGCCTTTGGCTTGCCCGAAAGGCACAGAGTTTCTGCCATCCGGCATTTCGCCCGACACCCGAGACCTCCACGTTCCGTTCCGTCACTGCGGAATTAAAGTGCAACAAACATAGGATGGCAAGGGAAGTGGGATGACTCTGGGTGGGATGAACTGGGATTCATAAGTCATCACACACGCTTTACATCTCATATACAGTGGCTAAAGAAGTGTCGGGCGCTTCCGTAATGATTTGCATGTTTAGGAGGAATAGACTTGAAAATCCCCGTAGGTTGTCGCGCCATTCCTTGGAAGAAATTTTCAACAGAGCCCCCAGCGTTGGGTCCCTGATGAGACAACGAAGACACGGCGGACAATGCCTGTTGTTACCCTATACGGGAAGAAGAGCATTGATGATGACACACAGGCTCGGAATCACGTTGGATGTCGGAACGATGTTCGGAACGAACAAAACATAGAAATAAAAACCTACACCCCCGCCACCAGGCTACGGAGCATGCCCGAAAGCAGGCCGAGCAGACCATTTCTTCATTCACCGCCCAATGTAACCTAACCACAATCGCTCAAAAATTATCAAAGAGCCACTCCACTTGTCCGAGGTATCGACGAGCGCTCAAATGCCTCAACGCCGGTGGCACTCCTGAATACCGAGACTAATCGAAGGAATTTGCAATGGGACCTGCCCTCTGAGGCTTCATCAACCCAGTGATTGCCAGCCCGAATCTCTTCGTAATGTGAAATGAGTGACCTGTATTGAGAGCTGAAAGACCACTGCGACCTTCTACATCTGCACACCATCCAATCTGCACGGGCGATCCTTTAGCCTGTCCTGGCCTATCCGAAACCTTTGTCCTTGAGTTTAGCCTCTGTGTTTTGCAGTTTCCCAAAGGGTATCGCACCCGACCGGATTGAGACGTCATCCAATCAATCACGACAACATCCCTGGCCCTCGCATTACTACGTGTAAAGGCATATCCATAGTCACAGCGGAACAGGCGCGCGTGGGATAGAGGTTGGAGAGGCACGGCACAGCCTTGAGGAGGGAACCAGAGGGGGTGATCCGACGGAAACGCAATCTATCGACACCAGCACGTCGATGCGACGGTATCCCGACCGGAGCATGACATTTACCTCGGACAAAGAAAAGCCCACAGGGCCCGACGACACCGACCAGGACAGCCCGAACTTCCTCTCCGAGATCGACGAGGAAAATGCTATCGACGAGCTATCAGCGCCACAAATAACTCCTGCCAAGCCCAAGATAGCGGACCCTCCGAACGGTGGCTTGAAAGCGTGGCTGCAGGTTCTCGGGGCGTTTTTCATTTATTTCAACACATGGGGTAAGCTGCAACCTCGGACTCAGCGATCCCCTTCGATGCAACGCAAGGCCGTTGCAACGTCACCCCCCGTATCCGCAACTGCTCAACGTGCAAGAGCAGTTGCATAGTGGTGTAAATATTTAGCTTGATTGCAAGTGCCGAAGAGAGCCGAGGCTGACTGAACGCGCGATGACAGGCCTCGTTGCAAGCTTCGGAACCTTCCAGGCTTACTATGAGGATGACCTCCTGCAGGTAAACAGCCCATTTGCTATTTCCACAATCGGCTCTTTGCAGAGCTTTCTAATGGTGTTTTTGGGGTTCATCGCCGGCCCTGTTTTCGACCTGGGCTATGCGCGCCAGCTCTTGTGGGTGGGATCCCTGCTCATTGTCGTTGGCTCCATCTGCCAGAGTCTCAGCAGCAACCTCTGGCAACTCCTCCTCTCTCAGGGACTCTGTGTTGGTGTTGGAATGGGCAGCCTCGCAGTTCTGGGAGTTGCTGTTCTTTCCCCATGGTTTTCGACAAAATTGCCTGTTGCGACAGGCATCGCGGCTGCGGGGAGCGGCGTGGGCGGGTAAGTCTTCCGGAACATCGTCAATAGACACAAACGAAAGTATCCCACCGGACAGGGCTGACTTTGACTTTCTCGCATCACAGCCTGGTCCTCCCCATCATGTTTCGGTCGCTTGAACCCGCGATCGGGTTCCGCTGGACTGTGCGCACCATGGCGTTGATCGCTTTAACGACGCTGGCGATTTCGATCGTGAGCATGCACACGCCCAAAGCCTCGGCGCAACGGCGCGCCTGGATCGACAGGTCCGCCTGCAGAGACGTCCCTTACCTGCTCTTCGTTTGCGCCTGCTGTCTGGTCTTTTTAGGCATGTACACGCCGTTCGTCTATGTCCAGAAGTACGCTCTGGCAACCGAGACTGCGTCGCCGCGCGTCGCCACGTATCTGCTCTCCATCCTGAACGGTGCGTCCATCCTCGGAAGGACCATTCCCAACTTGTTTGCGTCACGGATCGGGACGATGAACATGTTGGTTGTGGCTGTGCTAATTTTGTCCATCTCGGCGTTCTGCCTGATGGCTGTCAGCAATGCAACTGGTCTCATCGTTGTTGTCGTGTTCTACGGGTTCAGCAGTGGGAGCTTCTTCTCACTGCAACCTGCAACCTTCACACATATTACTTCAGACCGAAATTTCATCGGTACTAGACTTGGCATGGCGTATTCCGTCATGTCGGTTGCTCTCCTCCTCGGTTCTCCGGTGGGAGGGGCATTGGTGCGCACATTTGGATACTCTAGCGCCTGGATATGGGCTGGAGTATGCCTCGCGCTAGGAAGCATAATGATCGCATGTTCAAGGGGCATGGCGAAGGGTTGGAGGTTGAATCATAGACTTTGATATCCTAGACTTAGACTCTAGACTGCCTTATGGCACACGACCCTGACATGACCTATAGACTAGACTAGATAGACTACTCACCACTTAATGCTTGACGAAACAACGCTCTGAATGGAATAATGATTGCGGCGAAACAAATTCTTACGTCGCTTGTATATATCAGGGCTCGAAATGTTTGCTCGTGCTTTGCCACTGGTAAAAGGCTTCTTTACACAGGCTATCTATGTTTCACTACGTGCTACCAGACCAATCAGTACGACTACATACCCTGCCTAAAGCCTCGCTAGAGCTGTATGCTACTGTTGCCTCCACCTTCGACGGGTCAACAAGATGCAAAAAGTGAGCCTCAGGTCCACATGAGCCGATGTGGGGGAGGGCAAAAGTAATTGGGCCCTAACCAGGGATCGAACCTGGGACCTCTCCCAGATTGAAATGTTGAGAACAACCCTAAGGGAGAATCATACCACTAGACCATCAGGGCGGAGAATCTCAAGCTCGTTGAGATGCTGTGATCGGAGCCGAGTTGCTGGGGCTCATGAGACATCATCAACCTTCTTATTTCCGCTTCTGCTCAACAGCGAACTCAGAGAACGCTAATTTTAGTGGCAACGCTCAAACGCTGTTCTAGAAGTAAGAGCACGATGTCTTTCAAGAGTTCTGCTTTGTTTTATACGAAGACATGTGGTGACTCTAAGGGCTATGATGAGCCTGAGAGCCTAGCATTATTACCCTCGATAATGGACAGAATTTCAATGATAATAAGTAAGGCCCATGAAACGGAAAAAAGAATCGATTTGTAGATTAGACTGAGTGAGTGGATGAATAATTAGCAGTAGCGACAGTGTACCTAGCTCCACCAAGTCAGGACCTCGTTTCCAGACCTTCGTAGTCCCATGGCGAAAGTCCTAGTTACCGGACGACGACAAAAGGGTTGTGAAAAGAGAAGAAGGTTGAGCAGTGTCAAGTTCCAAAACATCCTGGACTTCATCATCAATGGACTCTAAAAACATCTCCTGAGTCCACTTGGGTTGCCATCCAAGCTTGTATCCGTTGACAGCCACAAGTTCTCCGCTATTTCAAAGGTCAGCAACTACTTTCAATGCAGCGGAAACGAAACAAAATATGTGCAGTCAAGGTATCGCTTACTTAGAGATTCCCATAGCCCGGATATACAGTCGCGGGAACCCAAGAGTGTCAGCCGCCACGTCGTAGCTGGGCCAGACTTTGGTCGTTGGTTCATCGACAAGCCCGCGTGCGTGCATGGCCACAGCAATTCGATCCATGACATCCCACCAGGGAACTCGGTGCACTGTGGCAAAGTAGTAGCCCTCATGACCGCTCGGGATGGGCTTTCCAAGGAGTATGTTCTCCGTTAGGAGCCTGTAAAGCTCTACCAAATCCAGGATATGTATCGCAAGTTGGCGCTGGGTAATTGCAACTGGTGAGCAAGTTGACAAAAAGCAGTCGCGGTAAATTTGCAGAGACTTACTGCATCCTTATCGAATTTGTGAACAACCCTAAGCCGCTTGCTAGCTCTGACCATGGCCGGAATATTGACGGACAGCTTGTTGCCTTCGCCAGTGCCTCGGCCATCTTGATGTCGTCAGTATGATGGTTAAGCCTTTTCTGTATTCAACTCACAAACAAGTGGCACCGGGATGATGAAGGGAGTCACGCCGGATGCTTCAGCTTGATCCATGACCAGGATGTTGGACTGCAATGACAAGAAGAATCAGCATAGGTTGCGGATTTGGGTTTCAAAAGCGTCTTACCAGTCGAGGATGGCTTGGGCCCCCGATTTCCTTCTCCTTTTCGTAAAGGCTATCGGTATCCCTGACCTGGCCAGCAGACCAGCCACCATATTCGGTGAAAATCGTCGCTACCGAAGTCTGCAAAAGTAATGAGTGATTGCTGGGGCGTTGGAAAGATCATAACCTACGTGGACGAAGTAGACATCTTTGCTGGTTGTCGCACGAAGCTCGCCGAGCCCCTTTATGAGGTTTGACAGGGGTTGATGGTCGATGACACCAGCGGTATGAATCACGAGATCAACTAGGAAATCATTAGTTGTACTGTTGCGGTATCCTAATGGATGCGACATACTTTTGTTCTCGACAATTGCTTCTGCAACAGCTTGCTGATCGGCCAGATCAAATTGGACCACGTTGACTCCGAGTTTTGCCGCAATCAGTTTCTGGGCTTGCTCCTCCGTTCGGACAACAGCAAAGATATTTGCCTTGTTGATAGGGCCGCTCGTGCGCTCTAGGAAATCTGCGAGGACGGAGCCGCCGCTGTCACCGTAAATGTCAGTCACTGAATGCTGTGTGGATTACTAGGATTCATCCTGCGTACATGTATCCGGCAGCGCCAGTGATAAGAATGTTGTGGTTCATGATGTCGGAGATTCCTTGACTTGTGTGATGCTTCGGATTGAGATGACGAGCAAGAGACTTCCCTGCGCTTCTCTTTGCTCATACTTATGATTATCATAGTTCATGGCATGATACAAACGATCACCTTCTTCCTTGATGATTCTGCTGATCTAGCATGGGTACTTTTGTGATGAAAAGAGTAATCAGATACCAGACTCCGACGACTTACACGGGAACCAATCAAAAATCGATTTACGGTCTCTAGGTCCCGACCGGGGATGCGCGCGTTTCCGCTGGTTGCGTGGGCGTACTGACGGCGCGACTGCGGACTGGAACTTTGGTAATTGTCCGAGATGCGTCAGCAACCTCGGAATACCCAGGCTTCACCATTAGTCATCTCATAACCAACATGACTTCTGTCGAGTGCCGTTCACAACGGCCAAAACGTTTGGTCAATTTGCATGTACGGCGTCAATCATCATGGAGAACCGCGGAATTGAGTCTGACAAGAGGACGAGATCTCGCCCGGCCATCGCCCGACGATCAGTAAGCTGACGACAACGCCGTCAAGGAGTGGAAGCTGACGGAGGAGTTAGTGTGACCAGTGCCGTTCAAGAAAGGTATGTCTTCTAGATTGACTTGATGAAAAGGCTGTTAAAATGACTGATGCTGGGAACGAGTAGATTGGCTGCGACAGAGGTTCGCCGTGCTCAAACTGCGTTGTGGCAAAAGTCAACTGCACCCACAGCGCAGTTGCATCCAACACATCGACGCCCAAGCAAAGAGTGCTGATTTCAGCTCAGTAGTAAGTAATGCATATGGATCCAAGCACAAGACTGGTGTTTGCTTGCCACTTGGCCGGTCTTCCAGGTTTTCACAGATGGTGGCAATGGCATAGCTGCACGTAGTCTTGGACGAGCAGTTGCTGACAACCAATCTCCCATGAATATAGCGAGAAGAAGATTGATGATATTGCCAAAGGCATTGACGATATCAAGTTAATACTAAAAAATCTCGATTCATCACAGATTCCGAAACCAGCCCCGAATGCTCTCACCAGCAGTGATGCTGAAGCGTCGGCCCCGCCCTTAACCACAGGAGACACCATTGCCACCAGTGTGTCCTCATTCGACCACTCAGCCCATGTCATTGACCTTCTGAAGTCTGTTTTAGAAGACGGGACAGTCACTTCGGATGGGTCAAGCCCGGAGACATCTGAAGTCGTCTCATCCTTGACTGATCTCACACGTACGCTGGAGGATCCGTCGCCCGGTGGAAACCACCGTTCACGTGATAAAAATGTTCTCAAAGGAGGGCGCATTGAAGATCCACAGATGCCTCCTGTCAAAGATGTCCTCGAGATTTTGCGTTGGGTCAGAGGTAAGGTCTTCATCCGCTATTCGCATGATATTCTCCTCACATCTAAGCAGCGCGTGAGCATTTCTTCCGCATCGCTCGAATATTACGAGTGCTTCCCATAGACTACTTCGAAGAAGTATGCAGAAAGATGTATTTTGCGATCGACGACTATACTGAGATCGACTTCGTCTTGGCCAACGGCTATCTTACCTACATATTTGCCGAACATCTCATCACTACCGGTCTCAACGACTACAGGGAGCACTGGTTGATGTGCCGCAAGAACCTCCACGACGCGGTCGCAAGACTTCCATTGCTACTGCCGGCAGCTATGGATGCGGTTGCTGCATTAACACTAGCAGTAGGTTCTGATCGTACGAAGATTATATAACTGACTAACTATGGCAGGCCTATGACGCTATGGAAAATGCCAAAGCAACCGTAGCTTGGTCTCTCATCTCATCCGCCGCAAGTCTGTGCCAAACGCTGGGATACCATCGGCCTAGCCCACGAAGGAGAGCTCGTGACGGGTCATTTGCGTCGACTGATATGCAAGAGAGTCTCTTCTGGTCTGTGTACTCGCTCGACAAGGGGCTGTCTTTGCAGCTTGATCGGCCCCCCAACATTCGTGATGTTGATATATCATTCTCATTTGACCCAGGCAGTCAGCCGAGGAGCATCAGGTTGGCCAGAATTCAAGGCAAAGCATATGAACAACTTTACAGCCCCCAAGGCTTATCGCGGCCCGTCCTGGAGAGGGGGCACGACGCCGAGGTGCTTGCAACACAACTGCGGGAGATGATACGAGATGTTCATGTGGATATGGAGGTTGGTTGGCGTGAACCATGCAACGAAGAATGAATGTTGCTAATTTTTCGTTCCAGAATGCCAACAACCGCGACCCGGAGGAGAATGAAGACCCTTTGCGTGTTTTGTATTTGCAATGCCATTTGGTCTGTCATACATCACTCCTCACGCTAATCCTCAGAGCGATACCCTCGGTCGGAAGCTCTCCAAGCGGCGCCTCCGATGAATGCGTCGCAGTCGCTCGGCTAGCCCTCGAGATCCATCATCAGTGCATGACGAGCATCCGTAACTGCCAGAGTGATCCCCAAATTGTGAACAAGTACATAAGTTGGTATGTGTTTCAATATTTGAAATCTCTCTACACCCTTGCCTTTAGCTGTTTTAGCTGGCTTGTCATATCTGGCGGCACAATTAGTCAAAGGAAGCAGAACCCAATTCTTGTGCTGACTTGACAGGGCTATTCTGAATATGCCATTCGTGTCATTCAGTGTCCTGTTTCTCCATGCGGTGCGGACCGCCGATGACGCAGATCTTGCCGTTCTTGATCGGTTTGCCAGGTCGCTCCAGCCTGAGGATCAAGCTTCCGATTGCTCAACTCATCCACACCGGATCTACAAACTCCTCTGCAGGGCTGCCCGCCTTCATATTGAGTCAAAGACGGGCGAGTGGGACGGTAGCTTGAATCAACATTCACTTGAGTCTCTGCTTGATATCGACGTTCCCGACGCTCACGGTCTTGAAACAATACGTCATGGCAATGAGAGTTGCGATGCGGACGGGTCTGGGTTGGGCGATTGGTACCGTGAACAGCAGCACTTTTTGGGTCTACTAAACGAGGATGCATTTCAATGACGTGGGAACTGATGGATTCCAGCATTTGACATGGAGAAGAGAGGCGCACAATCTTCCGCAGACTATACATGTAGTCACCACGAAACCAAGGGCGACGATGATGTCTAACACTAGTGGTACCCGCCCCACGGTTCGATTCCATATTCCATTCAAATATGTACAGTAAATGTAATCATGGGTGTTCATAACCCAGTCGCAACAGCAGTTTTCGCCCATCAAATAATTACAAACAATTGCTGGCCGTAGCCGCTTTCGTCTCATGCCATCCATCTAATGCAAGTCATGCTCTAATGCTGAACCAAACGCCGACGCCATGAAAGATCGACATGCTACTTATGCTTCAAAACTTTACAAGTTGGGCTTGAACTTGTTTCTGATGCGCTCGCCGAAGAGATAGAAGAGCAGGGGAATGGGGACGAGGGCAAGAGCGATGAAACCCAGGAGACTATTTCCCCAGCCAAGGCCAAGGGCGTTGTACATCTCCAGACCACCAAGGGGCAGGAGGGCTCCAGCCAGGGATCGAAGAACCGCCAGCGCGGCGGTGACCGAGGCTGCGTAGCGAGGGTATGCGTCAAGGAGGTAGTTCTGAACGCAAGTCTACAGCTTGTTGTTAGCAACGCATCCTTAAAGTAACGGTAGGTGGGATACACACCATGACACCCATAAGACCAGCGGCAAAGATTACGACACCAATCATAGGCACGATGAAGTGGACGTGCTTCTCGACAGTCCAACCATAGAGGAAGAGGCCGATGGGGAGGACGACTCCGCAAGGCATGGCCATGGCAGGGCTCAGGCGAATTTCGGGTCGGTGAGGCAAGCCCTTGTCCTTGTTCCTCTTGACGATGTAGTCGGTGAGAGTGCCGAAAGTTCCGACACCGATAATCATACCGATACCGGCAGGAAGGAAAGTCAGGCCGACAGTTCCCTCGTCGAATCCGTAGTAGTCCTTGAAGACGAAAGAGAATGTCGTGATGAGAAGGTACAAGATGCCGTAGGTGACAGCAACGTAGAGAGCCATGAGGGTGACAATGGGGGTGGCGAAAAGAAGCTTCAGAGGGCGGATGATGGCAAACTTGAACTTGTCAGAAACCTTGGCCTCGGTCTCAAGCTTGCTGCGGAGGTTCTCATTGCCAGTCTCCTTGCGCAGACGCTTAGTCTTTTGCTCAAGAAGAACAGGGGCGAAGGTCTCCTTCATCAGGAACCAGGAGAGAGGGATAAAAACGCCGCCCTGTAAATGGGTTAGAACTGACAGCCAACTTCCACGGTGTATAGTTATGACATACCACAATGACCACGAGCCAATAAATCCATCTCCAGCCAGCTGCCTTGATCAGATATCCACCAGCAACAGGCCCGATGCAAGGTCCGAGAAGAGGTCCCATAGCCCATGCCGACATTGCGCGACCTCTCTGCTCGATGGGCATGATGTCTGCGATACTACCGCTACCGATAGTGATGGGCACGGATCCAGCAAGACCCATGAGGAATCGGAAGGCCATAAGCATAGGCATGTTCTTGGCGAGAGCGGCTCCGACGGTGAAGACGGTAAAAAGGACGTTACCCCAGTTGTAGAGGAGTCTGCGGCCGTAGACTTCGCTGAGAGGGGCGACCATAAGGGGACCGAAGGCAAAACCGAGAATGTAGACAGAAACAACGAATGTGGCTGTCATGGATGATGTCTCGTGGAATTCGACCATGATCTTGGGAATACCGGGTGCGAACATTGAAGAGCCCTGGGAATGAGGTCAGTCACTGAACATGATTTGCGCAAGTAGAGTTGCTTACAAGTGGTCTGAAGCTGTTAGTAGGGGTAACTCAAAGCATATTAGAGAGTATCAACTTACGTTACAAGCGTCAAGATAGAGATGACGGCAATGTTCATCCACTTCTGACTCGCGGGCCAGTTTTGTGGGTTTTGAGGGTCGTCGGGGCCGTCCCAGTCGACGATATTGGGATCGTTCTCTTTCGGCGCATCGTCAGGATTCAATGCGGCTTCGCGGCCAGATTCGGGTCTGATAGTTGCGCCCTCGAGGTCGGAGGCGTTGGGGCTGATTCCCTTCTCCACATCCACATCTCTCGGCGCAGAGTCCGAAGGCCTTCGTTCCGCCATACTGCCGGGTTGACTTGAGAAACTGAGACTCTAATAGGCGGGAGTGTGCGCTTGGTGTAAGTTGTGAGGTGAATTCTAAGCTGGTGTTCGGGAGGTCGAGTGTTGTCGTCGAATAGAAGCGCTTGGCACGAGCCTCAAAAGAAATTCAAGAACTTCCAGCAAAGGGGAAACGTAACATTATATCTATCACGGTAGACACACGAGCACGCAGGCGCGCCACGGGTAACGACAAGGGGGGGAACCGCTCCGGTGCACAAAATTGTGCAGATCCCAGGACCTTGCGCCCTTCCCGTTCGCCTGGTTTTGCTCCGCTGTGCTGCGCAAGGACTGGGCTCGATCCACCCATTGCAAAAAGAAACCGAAACCGAGAAACCCAGGGAATGCGAAGGCGAGCTCGCACGCGATTGGGTCAGATCGAACGGCGACAGGGGTCCATCCCGCTTAATGGCTTGACGGCTTGGAACCATTTGATGAGAGACGCGGCGTTGACATGGCAAGACACGGGGTTTGGCCATCTTTTGGGACGGAATTCTGCTTGGTCCCTATTTCCAGATGGCGCGTCAACATGCCATTCGACTCATGTTGGCGGCCCCGTACCTCTCAAAAGAAAAATCTGATCGATGTCAAAAAGCGCCTGGCCCAAGCATCGTGTTTGCTGTCAAAAGTCCATCGGATGAGCCACCCCTTCCGTGATCGGGCCAGATCTTCGGGTATTGTAACGCTTCTTAAATCCGGAGAACCATTGCCCTGGGCCCCTTGATTTTCGCATTCATGATTTACGTCGCATCGTCATAGAGAGCAAGTGTCGTGATACGAATTACGAATGTTGCATCAACTTAACATGCGCATATTACACACGTGGAATGGTCACAGCATCGTCTTAAGCTTGAACACCGGCCCATGACAACTCGTGCGCCCATTGAACCAGTCCGTATGGATGAGTGCGCATAGCAAGCTTTAGCTCACACAAGCCTCTCAGCCAGCTCCGAGAAACTGCATGCTGTACGCTCGAAATTTCAAGACAGTGAGCCATGCGACTGGTCGCATTTCGATATCACTAACCCCAAATCGCGCTAAGACTCTTCCTAAACTTCTAGACGTCCGCGATAATGGGGTCATCTGGACCCGACGCTTGCATAAATCGAGCCGGAGGTTGCATAACTTGCGCCGGAGGATGGCGCTCCCGCTTACTGGGCCCCTGCGGGGAAATAAGGTCCAGGTCTTTGAAATTGGCGTAACCCGCCCAAGAGTCGAGAGCCGCGGGTCTTGCCGCAGCGCCGGACAGTTGCAAGAACCCGCTGGTGAATCCCGGTTCATGACTCCTTGATGGGAAAGAAAGCGACAGCGAGTGACCCCGGGATTGCCATGGGACGTGGGATTGGCCCATTGTCAGAGAAAATTCTAGCGTCGCCAACAAACATGGCGCTAGCTCACAGCCTACTGCTGATCAGTCGCTGCTGAGACTCGATAAGGCCTCCCAGCTGTTCTAGATGCGAGAAGGGGTTAGCGAATACGCGGAAGTCTTGAGCCGTCGATAAAACATCAGCCACACCTGCAATGTTACCTCCCCGGGACTCACACAATTCCCGTGAGGCGCAAACATTCAAGAGTCTTGAATTCCTAAGTCCGGGGCAGTCACATAATTTCGCAACTTGCCGGCTCGAATCTTGGCGGAACAGCGACCGGCGCTGGCAGAGCTTGATTTATCCCGGCTCCACCAGGCCTGCCGGGCCTGTATTTTTCGGATTCGGGCCAAGAATTCTTCGTTTCTTCGACCAAACCATTGTGTGACATTCTCGGCGGGGCATGAACGGGTAATAAAAGATGCCCGAAAGATTTTTCTTAGGCCAAGCTTTGGTCAACGTAAAGTGATCTGCAACTTCGTTGTAGATCATCTCGCGTCAAGCAATGAAGTAACAGTTTTACGTATCAACCATCGGTTTCGCAAATAACTATTTTGGAAGAATTCTCTGACTTGATAGCATAAGTGTCTTTGTGAGTTTATTGCGTTGTGTTGTTAACAGAGTCCACTGGTCAGCCCACACTTGAGCCTTCAATACAGTGACGCTCAAGTCAGAGCATGACATTCACAACCATTACCTGCCATTAATTCTTTCGTAATACAAGTTCGCATCTCAGAAACGTCGCCCGATACTGAGCACGTCACTTGTGTCGCTGGGTCAAAGGAATAACCCGGCTTTTACAACTACGACTGATCATGTTGCATCACCTTCAACATATTCGTGACCGATAGCCAAATTAAAATAGGCAACGGCAAAACCCGGTTCTCCCAAGAGTTTGTCTCTGAAGAATATATCAAATATCATGGGTAGGATGACATGTGACTACATGATTGATTGAGGCTAAATACGGGGACAAACTGTTCCGGAACGTCTTTCAAATCCCAGCCTCAATTCACAGACAGCCCTTCGGCTCAGTTCCCACGCCCGGGAGTGAGTCGGCAACAATACTATTAGGACTAACGGGGATATCGGAGCTTGCGAGGGGTTCAGATTGAATTCAATTATGCATGAGCCCCTCTTAGTATCTCCTAGTGTATCCAAACCTTCGTTGCCTGGGTTCTGGATTTGGGACGGAAACAAGCATGCGCGAGACGGAAATGCGATACGCGCACTCAGCTCTACATATACATAGATACGTAATCTCTGATTCATTGTAGCTGGTGTACCATCGATTTTTGGGTAAGATGGTGGGAGTATCTCATCAACGTTTCCTTTCGCTTATCATCTCCGGCGCGACATCTTCTCACAGCTGGCAATGAAAGACAACACTGAATGATACACATATTGACATTTTATTAATCTGCATCAAATATAATTGGAGGCGAAATTGAGAAAACTGGAAAGCTGCCGAGGGTACCGTCGTA